TATGCAGCTGCAAAAAAACTTTTCGGTAGCAAAAAAGGAATACGATTACCTCGATGTATTCCTCTTCCAAAATCTGGAGGACTTTTACCACTTATTCCTATATTTGCGGGGTTATCAGCTTTAGGTTCTCTTGCGGGAGGTGCAGCTGGTATAGCAAAAGCTGTTAATGATTCTAAAGCCGCACAAAAGAGTCTAATGGAATCAGAAAGGCACAACAGAATGATGGAAGCGGTAGCCCTTGGAAAAGGACTGTATATAAAACCTCATAAAAAAGGAGCTGGTTTATATCTCAATCCGTCAAAAAACTAATTAAGCGGCTACCTAGACGTGCGCTCACTAACCTGGATATATTAGAACATGCTAGTGATATTCCATTCTTTCGTGGTGTATTCATGCGAGATACATTACCTGCGAAACCAAATAAGATAGAATGTGCTATCATGAATTTAGATATTAACAAAAATCCTGGAACACATTGGGTGGCCTTTGTAAAGCAATATGATTACGTTGAATATTATGACAGTTTTGGTAATTTAAAACCACCGTTTGAATTAGTCAAATATTTTAATAATTTACCTATAAACTATAATTATGTACGATATCAAGCCTTTGGTACAATAAACTGTGGTCATTTGTGTTTGAAATTTTTAAGGAATTATTGGAAAAAACATTTATATAATGAAATTTATAAATAAAAGTATCAGTATAATAATGTCTTTCACTGTGTCTATAACCGGAACAGGAGCCNAAATCTAAGACACGTTTATGATGAACATGTTGGGTCTGACATGTCATGGTCACAGTTTCGTGAAATGTGTTCAACTGTATGGAGTAAACCTTACAGTTATGTGGTTATCAATAAGGATTGTGAACGAAACAAAGGCTGTTATCGAATGAAGTTTGATACATTCATAGTAATGAATTAAACTTTTTATAAGTATAGATGTTAAGTTACTAACCATTCAGTTTCATTAGAGAAGTCAACCANGGTCGAGTTTGGGGCTGGTCAACCGCAGGAACAAACAATGATAGTGGTGGAGCATTTTCTGCATCTATACCATTAAATAGGATATTAGGATTTGCAGAGGATTATGAAAAAATTATCATTAACTGTAAACACGAGTTAGTGTTACTGAGAAGTAATACTAACCTTAATGCGGTCACGTTAAATGCAGGTGAAGTTGTAGATGACATAATAATCAATAAAATTATTTGGCGCGTTCCACACATCAAAGTTTCAGACCGTGAGAGGATTAACCTATTGAAACACTTGGAGAAAGATCGAGCTATTCCATTAGTGTTTCGTAATTGGGATCTGTATGAATATCCATTACTACCTAAAACACGTAAGCNGAACGATCAAAATAAGAAGACACTTGTTACTGTAAGACTATATATTTTCAAAAACACTTGTAATAAAAACACATGAAACCTTAATTTTATCGTCACCAAAAGAAAAAAAGAAAGAAAATAAAATTATTGCCTGATTAAGTTAATATAATAAGTACAAAAAGACTGATAATTTTCGGTTAATGTACTACAGTGTGATTGCTTCTATTCTTATAATTACATATTAATTTACAAGTTTGCGTTACACTTTAATAAAAACTTAATACTTACATTAAAACNGAATCTTCAAATGTAATTATGTGACGTATAACGTTACAGAGTTTGATCATTGTCACGTACGAGATGTAAGAGTCTTTTTAAATTCAACATATTATCCGTATGAAGGACTAAATGTCAGTTTTTTAGAGGAAAAACTTGCTTTATTATACGAACAGTAGGTATTCAAGATTTCAGCAGTCGTATCACGGACGCCGGTCGGAGCAGTTGTTGANCGAATTTTCACTGACATTATGATCTTCTGAGAGTGATGTTGTGAGAGTCTTGTTGGATGGATAAAATTCATTATCAGAGTTTCCTTCATCGTTGATAAGTTCTTCAAAGTCTTCACTAGAAGAAGTTGATGACTCGTTTTCACTAAACTTGTTTTTTTTTGGCAATAAATCTTGCTCCGTTTCTTCACTACAATGACGTTTTTCACCAGTTCTGTTTGTTAATTGAGTAAGAGGGTCAACAATAGGCTTAAAAATTGTTTCTAAAGCCATGTCATTTGAAGTTTTTTTATCTTTAATCTTATCGACTTTACTTTTCACAGCCGCTGCGTATTTGACGATTTGTTTTTTTAAATTTCGTTCCATTTCAGGGTTTATTTCCACTCAGCACGAAATCACAAATGAAACTGATTCATTATTAATTTAACATCCATATATGAACGTTAGTCAAGTACTATGAATGTATCAAATGACATTCTATAACATCCTTTATTTCGTTCACAGTCTTTATTTATAACAACGTAATTAAAAGGATTACGCCACACAGTTGAGCACATTTCGCGAAATTGATTCCATGACATGTCGGACCCCACATGTTCATCGTACACGTGTCTCAAGTTTATGTCATCTTGTTTAAATAATATTAACAGGTTAGAATTGTCTCTTACTAATTGTTTAGGCACTTTAGTATAAGTTTGATTAATATAAAAACAATCAATGTTCTTATGACGTCCCATAGCGAAATAGTCACGGATATTATTTTGATTTTCACACGCAACATCATCAAATATAATAATTGAGTCTGGTAAAGCTTCGTGTGGACTTAAAATCTCACTGTTATGATTATATTTGTTGTAAGACGTACCAGCCACCATATCCATAACTTTTTCTAAAAGTATGTATTTGGGTTGATATAAAGATTTTGAATAAACATAGAGATTACGAAATCTCGGACCATTCTCGTGCAATAATAAACTTATTACCAAATTAGTCTTTCCACAATTTGATGGGCCGCAAACAATACTGCGTATAGAGTTTGGTAATAAGTTTCCATGTCGCTTTTGCTCATTTATTGTGGTAGGACAAACACAATCTAACTTAAGCGATTGTTTTTGTTTCAGAAACTTCATATTTTGATATTTAATATGACCGTCGTGATTCGTGGATTTTATCAAACTGATTATAAAATGATCACATCATAACATTTTACGTTTGAAATTATAGCCATCCAGTTTCAAATAGAATGAACGAAAATGAAATTATTTTGAGTGATCCTTGAATAAATGTTTTTGAGAGTTTCTCGCTGGAATGAGCGAGAACTCTCAAAAACTTACTNAATGCAGGCGAAGTTGTGGATGACATTATAATCAATAAAATTATATGGCGAGTTCCACACATCAAAGTTTCGGACCGTGAAAGGATTAACCTATTAAAACATTTAGAGAAGGATCGAGCTATTCCATTAGCGTTCCGTACTTGGGATTTGTATGAATATCCATTACTGCCTAAAACACGAAAGCATACTTGGTCTATTAAAACTTCTTCGCAAATAGAGAAACCACGATTTGCTGTCGTTGCCTTGCAAACCAACCGCAAACATAATGCTGCATTATCAATGGCAGAGTTTGATCATTGTCACGTACGTGATGTAAGGGTATTTTTAAATTCATCATATTATCCTTATGAAGGACTAAATGTTAGTTTTTCAGAAGATAGATTTTCTTTATTATACGAACAGTATGCAAGATTTCAACAGTCGTATCATGGACGTCGGTCAGAGCCGTTGTTAAGTTTGAAAGAATTCAGAGACATAGCTCCTTTAATTGTTATCGACTGCTCGAGACAACACGAAACTTTAAAAGGTTCAATCGACGTGAGAGTTGAAATCGAAACAGACCAAGAAATACCAGATCAGACATCTGCTTATTGCTTGATTTTAAACGATTGTATATTCGAATACAAACCTTTGAGTAACATCGTTAAGAAAATATCATGAATAGCAATATAGTCGTAGATCTGCAGGGATTTAAAAATAATAGAAATAAATTTATAATAAAAGAGTTTGCTATAGCTACCCAAGAGCATACCCACCTATTTTTGATCAAGCCTCCATACCCGTTCAGTTCATTGACTCTTGCAGAGAAAAAGCAAGTTTGCTGNCTATAGAGAATTTCAAAGACTTATCGTACCTTATTTAAAAGGTAGATGTATTTTAGTAAAAGGAGAAGAAAAGATTAAATGGGTGCAAAATTTATGTAATCAGAATGACGTTTTAGACGTAACTTGTTTAGGCGCTCCAAATTTAAATACTCTTTATAAACTTTATTGTTTAGATAATCCCACATTATTTAACTGTTTTACTCATAAGAAATATTGTGCATTAAAAAATGTAATGTGTATAAAGAAATGGTGTGTTGAAAAAAATGTAGCAGTTTAAATTATTTAAATTACATCATGTATAATATTGTATAAAAACACAATAGTGTTCTCTAAATGGATATCAATTGTTTAATAAGTTGTAATGAAATTTCAATAAACTGATTTATTATAAACTATATCGGAATTTTAATNGATGGAGTGAAGGATATATTGACTATAGAGAATTTCAAAGACTTATCGTACCTTATTTAAAAGGTAAATATATCTTAGTAAAAGGAGAAGAAAAGATCAAATGGGTGCATAATTTATGTAATCAAAATGACGTTTTAGACGTAACTTGTTTAGGCGCTCCAAGTTTAAGTACTCTTTACAAACTTTATTGTTTTGATAACCCCACATTATTTAACTGTTTTACTCATAAGAAATATTGTGCATTAAAAAATGTGATGTGTATAAAGAAATGGTGTGTTGAAAAAAATGTAGCAGTATAATGTAAACTATTGAGTTTAAATTCTTTCTAAATCAAATCAAATCAAATAAATTNAACTTTAATTAAATTCTTTAAATTATGTATATTGACAATTTAAATAAAGTAATTATTTCTTGATAAAAATGTTGTTTAATTTAACGGGAATACAAAATAAGAAGACACTTTACATCTGACTGTAGAACTATATTTACACAAAAAACACTTATAATAAAAATACAAAAATCTTATTACTTACATTACACTAAAACTACACTTATAAAAACACTAAAAATACAAAAANCTTACATTAAAACTATACACTTAAAAAACACTAAAAGTTATCACCACAAAGTTTTTTCGATATTTTTTGAACAAGATTGTCAGTGAGGTCCATGATTTCGTCGTATGAATCCTGGACCACGTATTGTGCGCTGATCAGCACATTATCCTCTTGGTCGGTGATTTCTGAGGATGAAGCCGATCCCGTATCACTCACAATATCAATAACTTCTATTTTGATGAGCCTCTTTCCTTTCTGATTTTTCGTTATCACATAGGATTTCGTCGGTCCTAGTCTTCTTTTTGAAACACCTTTTTTATTCTTAGGCTTTTTCACTTGTCTTTGAACAGCGTGCGCGTGGAGTCTGGAACACAGCTCCGGAAATTCTTGCGTAAATCCCTCCAGCGGATCTTGAGCGTACTGGGATAACATGATGTCAGGAGATTGAGCCATTATCTATAACAAAATAAAGTTTCATTAGTAAAAATATTTTTAACGTAAAACAAAGTGTTACACAAACTTCGAAATAAATACTTACAAGAATAGAAGCAATCGCACTGTAGTACAACGTTCGTCAGAGACAAAGTGTGAATGGTAAGAAAATAACCGAGTTGAGGAATCAATCACATTTTGCTGAGTTTATAATTAATATCGTCGTCACTGACGACCTACATAATACTCAGCACGTGTACATAAACATGACAATCAGTATTGTCGAATGTTTCTTTTGCTTGAATTTTATAAATAAAAAAACAAAATATCAATTTAATTTAGCAGGTAAGGAATTTTGTAAGAAAACCAAAAAAAAAATATTCTGAAAATGATTTATTTTTATAAGTAAGTAAAAAGTAATGCTAACAGAAAATGCAATATAATATTAAATTTAACAATAAAGTCTAAAACTAACGTACCTATTTTACATAAAAATTACTTATATTTAATATTTATTTCAGCTTAAAGTTATTTATTACAACAAAGAGCTATGCCCCCATGCCATTGTGGATATTTTGTCTTGCAATATAAAACGTTTGTCATCCGCATTTGACAAAGCAATCTTATTAACAGTCTGTGTAAAAATATTATGCTTAATACATTTAAAGAGAATATTTTTCCTACGCACTATTTTATCGTTTAGTAATGCGTTACTATAATCAGATGCCTCCAAGTGCTTAATAACATTTTTTCTTATTCCTTTTGCCTTTTTAATGACATTAGAATCAGTTTTAATGCAATACAACTTTGATCTCAACCCTACAAATTCAGTCATTATACATCCGCCAAGTTCGTCTTTGAATAGACCAGGTACTTTTTTGTTTCGAATCGGAAGGTCATACTGATTTTTCAGAGCGTAATTACTGGTATCGAAATATTGTAAGAAATGTTGCTTTATATCTACGTAAAAATCATTTGTTTCTATTTGGTAGATAAAGCTATCGGTGTCTGTATAGCATAGTCGTACTCTATCTCCGTAGTGAGGCTTTATTACAGAGTAATGAAACTGGTACATGTGACTTTTAGAAAGTTCTAAAACGGCAAAGCCAATGTAAATTGGTTTATCTAATATAATTCTTTCCGGTTTCATTTGAATAGCCACTAAGTTTTCGGAGAAAATGGTGGCGCTATGGAAGTTTGGTCGAGAAATTAACTTTGCAGCAGAGAGAGACCGGTTTGTTCGATTGGTATCGTCCTGCCACTGATTCACTAATTTGATGTCTACTCTACGTTCAGTGTCTTCTAATGTTTTCCCAAAAACAGAATTATTCATAAGTTTGAATAAATCTTGTTGGAATGGTGTTACTGCTTTCTTTCTCAGTTCTGTGTTAAGATTTATATATTGCGCTAAAAATTTGCTTTGTTTAAAAGTCACAACTCGATGAATTTTTTGTAAAATTAGACCATGGTTTAAACAAGTCTTTAAATGAACGTAGTGAATCACATATTGGTATTTTGAATATAAGTTTGGTACTAATTTAGAAGTTTTACCTCCCGGAGGTATGAATTTCTCCGCGCAAAATGGATAATCGTTGTGAATACAATGCAATTCTTCCGGATATAATAAATCAACTTCAAGAATAAACCCAAAATCCGCATCGTCGCGCACGTTCATAATTTGTAATTGATCAATTTCGTGCTGTTTCAAAAATCTGAAATGGGATACTGGCAAAGACTGGCACATACTATAACCATAAAGATTATTACAGTCGATATATATGAGAAATGAATCCGTTTTAGTTTCATCATAATTATCCATGTAAATATTATTCGCCTGAGCATGTCTAGTAGAACATAAACAAATTCCACCCCGTATTCCTTTCTGTATGAGACGTATAATTTCTAAGTCAGACAATAACTCTAACTCTACTCCTGTTTTCAGCAACATTGCGTCAAATGATAAGCTCGGAGCTGTTAAGTAAAAAGCAGGATCTAAGTGATATTGCTTTTTACAAACCGCTCTAAAATTTTCAAAGACGTCTGTTAGTAAATAGACGTCGGTTTTGAGATAAAGATCTGTATATTCTCCCATATTGCTTATGTTAAAAGTATCCCAAATCACTTGTGCATGCATGTAATCTTCATCGCTGATACCTTCGTCAGTTAAAGTATTATAGAAGCTTTCTTTGGGAGGAAGTTGTCTCTCAGAGAACGATCTCCAAGATTTCATGTGGTCGTAGGGATAAATACCTTTGCGAGTCATTAATTTAAATTCGTTTTCTTTAGCAAAACATTGTTTTAAGTGAATGAAATCTGCTTTGTTTAAACCGTTTGCTAATTTTTCTAAGCTTGTGCCTAGAAATTTAAACGAGTCTACAAATCTTAATTGAGCAAATTTCCCATCAGACATTTTTAAAAATTTTGTGAATGAAATATAGTTTTCTTTATTCTTAGGTATTACTTTAATAGGACCCAAACTATCAGCCAATTCCTTAATGAATAAATGACAATCATAGCCTGCTAAATTATGAAAAAAAANATCACATAGGATTTCGTCGGTCCTAGTCTTCTTTTTGAAACGCCTTTTTGATGTTTAGGCTTTTTCACTTTTCTTTGAAGACAGGCGTGCGCGTGTAGTCTTGAACTCAGCTCTGGAAACTCTTGTGTAAATCCCTCTAGCGGATCTTGAGCGTATTGGGACAACATGATGTCAGGAGATTGAGCCATTATCTATAACAAAATAAAGTTTCATTAGTAAAAATATTTTTAATGTAAAACAAAGTGTAACGCAAACTACTAAATGAATACTTACAAAAATAGAAGCTATCGTNTTAATGAATAATATAAACAAAAGTGGGCCTAATATTGAGCCTTGTGGCACGCCAGAGCTTATTGGTACAAAATCTGATTCGTAGCCATTTAAAACAACCTTCTGTGTACGGTTAGTTATGTATGATTTGAACCAACGCCAAAGATTCCCACGAATACCATTGTATGCTATTTTTTCCAGTAATATCTTATGATCCACCCTGTCAAAAGCTTTCCGAAAGTCCGTGTAAACACTATCAATTTGCGTGTTACCATCTATACCTTCGAAAACGTATGATGTATATATCAGCAAATTGGTTGTTGTAGATCGGCGTTTTACAAAACCGTGTTGTTGAGGAATAATATTATTATGCAATGATGGATATATAATATCGTGTACTAGCCTTTCGAAGAGTTTCGACAGAGTGGGTAATATGGATATAGGGCGATAATTTTCAACGTCTGACCTATTTCCGCTTTTGTAGACAGGAACGACACGTGCGGTCTTCCAGATGGTAGGAACAATACCTTCTCTTAAGCACAGGTTATATAAATAGCATATGGGTTCGTGAATTGTCTTAGCTGTAGATCTAAAGAAGATTGGAGGTATGTTGTCTACTCCAGAGCCCTTCGAGATATCTAAGTTTCGAAGTTCATCCAACAGTAACCCACTTGAGATCGATATGTCACTGATAATCAGGTCAGATGCGTGATCATTATTTTGATATTGATGTTCGTCTGTGTCATTAACACTCGATGGTTCGAAAACCGACCTGAAGAACGAGGAAAAAAGATTACATACACCTTCAGGGCTGTCAACAGTTTGGTCACCATAAGTCATCCTACTTGGAATATCAGCATTCGTTTGTCTATTTTTTATATACCTCCAGAAATGCTTTACATTGTCCTGAATACTAGATTCTACTGATTTAATATAGCTATTGTAACATCTACGTGCTTCCTTTTTAAACCTTGTTCTATATAGGGAGAAAGTTTCATAGTCGGATAAATTGTGGTATTTTTTCCATTTAATCCAGGCAGTGTTCTTATTTTTAAAAATATGAACTAACGATGGAGTAAACCAAATAGGAAAACGTGAAGACTTTACATTTTTAGTNTTTTTATATACCTCCAGAAATGCTTTACATTGTCCTGAATACTAGATTCTACTGATTTAATATAGCTATTGTAACATCTACGTGCTTCCTTTTTAAACCTTGTTCTATATAGGGAGAAGTTTCATAATCGGATAAATTGTGGTATTTTTTCCATTTAATCCAGGCAGTGTTCTTATTTTTAAAAATATGGACTAACGATGGAGTAAACCAAATAGGAAAACGAGAAGACTTTACATTTTTAGTTGGGATATTGTTTTTAATTATGCTATATATTTTTTCATAGAATAATGAGACAGCGGCCTCCGCATTGACATCCGTTAATAAATCATCCCAGTTCACACTAGAAATATCCCTATTTATATTTTCATAATCTGCTTTAAAATAATTAAATTGTACACTAGACTTCTTGATTACGTGTGAAAAGTTATTTTGATTTGTTGGTAATAATCCGTAAAACGGGGGATGGTTTACATCCGCTTGTACGAGNTATTTTTTCATAGAATAATGAGACAGCGGCCTCCGCATTGACATCCGTTAATAAATCATCCCAGTTCACACTAGAAATATCCCTATTTATATTTTCATAATCTGCTTTAAAATAATTAAATTGTACACTAGACTTCTTGATTACGTGTGAAAAGTTATTTTGATTTGTTGGTAATAATCCGTAAAACGGGGGATGGTTTACATCCGCTTGTACGAGCGGTAGCGATACCATAGCTGTAGTAGAATCCCTAATATTAGTTATAAATAAATCTAATATTCTATTTCTTATATTCCTATGTGTATTTATTTGATAGCCGTTCAAAGCAGATATTAAATTAATAAGACTTTTGTTAGACCAACAGTATGAGCTGTGGATTACGGGTTCTAAATAAGTTCCACAGTCTCGCCATTCTAAAGTGGGCAAGTTATAATCGCCAACAATTATAAAGTCATTAATATCTGTATCTTGCATTAGGTGTGAGATAACATCAAAATGTGTAGTGTAAATATCTGATCCCAAGTTAGGTGGAATATATGCCGCGCTCACAACACAGCAATAAGCCCGCAATCTCAACTCGACAATAACATGATCGATAAGCGGCGAGCGCGAGGAGGCCGCGGCGGCGCGCGCGCACTGCACGGCGACGATCTCGCGACGGACCGCTATCAGCACGCCACCGCCGTCGCGCCTCCCACTCCCCTCTCGATCCCTGTCGCAACGAAACATTCGATACCGTGCGTCTATACATTCGCTGTCAGATATATCACCGTGCAGCCAGGTCTCTGTTAATATAATTAAATCATAATTATTAGCTAGGACATTCATGTAAAGCGTATGTAACTTAGTTCTTAAGCCTCGACAGTTTTGATAGTAAACAGTTAACTTGTTTTTATTCATTTTAAGAGGATTTTATGTGTAAAAAAAATAAAAATAGTAGTATAATTGTATAAATTGTAAATAGTAATATGATAGTAGTATAATTGTCTAAGGCCCACGATATCGAATCGTATAGTTGTTGGAGAGTAATAAATAAATTATAACTGAAATAGTAAGTTGTGTTTCTTAAAAGTGTATAAGTTTTATTCATATTCTCATCAGCCCAACAAAACATTTCGTACGAAAAAATATTATTAATGCCTAGAAAAAGCGGTCCATATCGTATTCTTATACTGTGTTTGAAATTCATACCTAGCGTTACACGGTTTGTACATAATTTATAGTGTTTAAAATAATAATAGATAATAAAATTATAGTGTCTGGTAATTAGCGTGAGTGTTAAATATTTAGAGAAACATAAATGAAACAGATGTATCATAACCCCATAAGTGAACAGCTGAAACTTTAATTTATATTGGAGAAATATGTTGCACAAAAAAATTATGAAATTCGCCATACACTGCGCAGTAATTATTATTATGCTTAGAGTCAGTATACTATACCTATCCAAACTATTAATAGCACAAAAACAATCACTTAATTTTAGCAATGTCCTGCATACTCCGTATGGCGATAACCGGGGAGGTATCTGATTTTCGTGCCAAGATAGTTCCGTGCTTGACCCAAACGTAACGAAAGGCTTGCTTTTTTGCTGTCTCCCTGGATTGCCGGAACAGGAGCTTATTTTCAATTGTGAGGTGCTCATTGACGTAGACAGTTGATGACGGACCAGTTATGGATAGTTTGGTCGAGTCCAATCCTTTTGCTGATCGATAGGCTGAGATGATGTTATCACGCAGCATTCTAGTAGTGAGCTTCACAATAACGTTCTTCGGACGATTATTNGATGTTCATATATGACTAAACTTAAAAGCCTATAGGAAAATGCAACAAAAAATATATTAGATGCTATTTATTTAAATCATTCTCAGAATAGAACTAACTAACTTAAAACTAAGATTTAAAGTTTATTTTATTATTATAAAATATTGGCTCGCGGTCTTCAAACAATTTCTTCGCGGTCTTCATAAATTTTTGAAGATCCCGCCACTGCGATGTTTCGGTGTTAAGCTGAACCTTCAGCGTGTGCAGCGTCTTCTTGTAGCGATCCGCGGGCGGCGTCTTGAGCGCGTCCCTGGTGTTGTAAACACGCACCTCCACGTAATAAGCGCCCTCGAGCGGAACCGTTCGCCGCACGACACCGTTGGCCACCTTCGAGGTCAGGCTGCTGTCCAGCTGCTGACGACCGACTTTTAGTCGTTGAGAGTTTTCGATGGCGACACTTTCGTCTTCGTCGGATAGTAGCCCGAACAGATCCGTAGAACTCTTCGTTGGAGCTCTGAAAATTAAAACATTAAAGCATTATTTACGACTTAAAATAGTGTACATGTATTAAAATATCAATTGTTTGTATTTTCCAAATCGGTATTTCTATCTAACCTAACTTATTAACTGCACTGCCTAGTTAGTTTATCTCTATTATGTGTCTAGTAAGTTGGCTGGTAGAAAATACCTATTAATTAGGTCCTCTGTTTAAATATAATTTATTAGGCAATAAAAAAGATCGAAAACAACATTTGTAGAAAAACATCAGATATGATATCTGCATAAAGCTTAACAAATTAATACTCACCGAGGTCTAGAAGCTACAGGTTTCTTTTTCAGCGCTGCTGGCTGCACAGTTTCACACTCAGAGTCTGATCTGTGAAATTAATAAGAAATAAATTAATAAACTTGCGTTATGAGGTTGCATTTTTTGATCACACATCTTTGCCTTAGCAAAGTAATTGCATGTAAAGATGTAGACATAATACTACAGAATATTTAATAATAAGTACTACTAAAAATTAAATAGTTCATTAAAATTAAACCGTTTGCTAATTTTTCTAAGCTTGTGCCTAGAAATTTAAACGAGTCTACAAATCTTAATTGAGCAAATTTCCCATCAGACATTTTTAAAAATTTTGTGAATGAAATATAGTTTTCTTTATTCTTAGGTATTACTTTAATAGGACCCAAACTATCAGCCAATTCCTTAATGAATAAATGACAATCATAGCCTGCTAAATTATGAAAAAAAATAGGAACTAGTTTTGGGAGACTGTACTGTAAATTGCAGTACTGGTGAGCAGCACCTCGGTAGCAGCCTGTCAAGTGACAATGGTCTCTTACTTTGTCAAATAGCAGGAGACTATTGCAAATATGACACACGTCAGCTTTGGCATGCATTTTGGCATCACTTTCGTTAAACACCATTGGCACTTCAACGTTTAAAATTTCATAAATTTTTTCTACGTCTCTATACAGACATTTGAGAAATTTTTGAACACAGTCGCGACCGCGGTACGAAATGAATCGATTAAGTTTGCTATCAAATGAGCAAACAATGCGATAAGCAAAAGCTGCTGGAATGTGTTGTGTACGATTTAACGTAAAACTACAATTTGGATCAGGCTCACAAGTCGTTATTGGTTTAAGTAGAGTTTCAAAGTCGGCGTACACCACAAAAGGAACATCCTGTTTCCGATTAAAATTTTTAAAATGAAGACAACTACCATGTTCCGGAAGCACGGTAGTCACACCGCAACAAGTGTGACTATTAAGTTTCTCTTCAGACGAAAAAAACAGCATACAATCATCACAAAAGTATATCGTGCCATGATGCTTTGTTATTTGAGTACGAACAAGACGTGACAAATTTTTTATTAAAACATAGTGCGATTTGTTTCCCTTTTCAAGTAATAATAAATTGATCCTTGTTTTTCTTTTAAACTCAGATCTGTAAATTGGACCCACAATGCGATTACTTTTTAAGGAATATACATTTATGGATATATTTTGATTATTTTTTTCAAATGTTCTTATATCTGTGAAAGTAACAGGGAAGTTTAGACCATCAATATTCAATACGTCTTGAAAATTAGGATAGGACGATGGACGATCTCCGTTGCGTTTTGCAGGATAAAGGGCTGCGACAACGCTCCATAAAAAACAAAAGCTATCTTTGTTTTGGATATTGATGCATGCTTTTTTCTTTTTTAAATATAATGGCAAATCCATATAACTAGAACCTGAACCACTTAAAGGATCGAATTTATTGATATTAATCTCTACATAAATGTTATTTAGAAAGGCCCACCCACTGTCACGGTCCTGAAATTCTTCAACTTTTTTACACAAGTTATTAACAACAGAGTCAAATATTTGGTTCCAGTTAAAGTTACGATGTATTGTTATATTCTTAGTGGCAAATGATTTAACGTCTTGGGAATCATTTTTTAGTAAAATGAAATTAGCAAAATACTCAATATTTATCTTTAAACTTACGTATTTTTTTAACGACTTTTCGATAAGACTACATAATTTTCCACGTTTACTGTTTAAAAATATATCCGGTAAAGTTGACTCGTGTTCCACATTTGCTGGAATTCTAAATGATGCAATACGACCTTTAAATGCAGAGGTTACCTTAAGTACTCCGTCTTCTACCGGAACCGCACATTTGTTTTTGTGCGCATTACTCCTCAAGTGACCTATCCAATGCGTATTTTCCACGCGGGTACCACAAGCAGTACAAAAAGGCATGTTATCAATACACTTTAAGCTGAAATAACGTCTTTAGGTATTTTACTAGTAAACAATAACGTAGTACAGTTAACGGGAATTACAGAATTTATGAATTATACAACAAACTATGGCTTATAAATTCTAAAAGAAGATTTAGGTTTAAGATTTAACAGAAAATTAACGAGAGTCTAACTCTTGATGTTCATATATGACTAAACTTAAAAGCCTATAGGAAAATGCAACAAAAAATATATTAGATGCTATTTATTTAAATCATTCTCAGAATAGAACTAACTAACTTAAAACTAAGATTTAAAGTTTATTTTATTATTATAAAATATTGGCTCGCGGTCTTCAAACAATTTCTTCGCGGTCTTCATAAATTTTTGAAGATCCCGCCACTGCGATGTTTCGGTGTTAAGCTGAACCTTCAGCGTGTGCAGCGTCTTCTTGTAGCGATCCGCGGGCGGCGTCTTGAGCGCGTCCCTGGTGTTGTAAACACGCACCTCCACGTAATAAGCGCCTTCGAGCGGAACCGTTCGCCGCACGACACCGTTGGCCACCTTCGAGGTCAGGCTGCTGTCCAGCTGCTGACGACCGACTTTTAGTCGTTGAGAGTTTTCGATGGCGACACTTTCGTCTTCGTCGGATAGTAGCCCGAACAGATCCGTAGAACTCTTCGTTGGAGCTCTGAAAATTAAAACATTAAAGCATTATTTACGACTTAAAATAGTGTACATGTATTAAAATATCAATTGTTTGTATTTTCCAAATCGGTATTTCTATCTAACCTAACTTATTAACTGCACTGCCTAGTTAGTTTATCTCTATTATGTGTCTAGTAAGTTGGCTGGTAGAAAATACCTATTAATTAGGTCCTCTGTTTAAATATAATTTATTAGGCAATAAAAAAGATCGAAAACAACATTTGTAGAAAAACATCAGATATGATATCTGCATAAAGCTTAACAAATTAATACTCACCGAGGTCTAGAAGCTACAGGTTTCTTTTTCAGCGCTGCTGGCTGCACAGTTTCACACTCAGAGTCTGATCTGTGAAATTAATAAGAAATAAATTAATAAACTTGCGTTATGAGGTTGCATTTTTTGATCACACATCTTTGCCTTAGCAAAGTAATTGCATGTAAAGATGTAGACATAATACTACAGAATATTTAATAATAAGTACTACTAAAAATTAAATAGTTCATTAAAATTTTAGTAGTTACATTAAAATAATCATACTATGTTACAATAAAAATATCATACTATGTTAGTTACATTAAAATGATCATACTATATTACGTACCTTGATGAAGTTGGCGCAGTCTTCCTCTTCTTCGTATGTTTACGAGGGTTAGCGATGATGGAGGTGGAACTCCCACCGAATGTGGATTCAAACTCTGAGTCAGACCTGTAAAGATAATGACAATTCAAAGTCACATAATTTCCATCCTGTGCAATGAAAGTACACTCTGCAACGAATAGTAAACGAACAACAGTTTATAGTCAACGTCAAAAATATGTATATACTTTGACAAACGCTGCAAAACATTAAAGTTAGTTTTAAATCTTCAGTGCTAATAGTCTTAAACTTTAAAGTAACATGATTTACATGATGTTTGGCTAACTATTAACTAAACTAACGAATCTCTCCATCAAATCTAAACATATCACAGTTAAAAATAGTCAAAATAAAAAATATACTCACATATTGAACACTCACAATTTACTCAAGATGTGACGTCACTGGAGCTAGTTCCTCCTTCTGAAGCACTTCGAAATACAGAATGAAGCTCATACTGCGAGCCCCCAAATTTAAAGGGAAAATATTGATAATTCAGCAATAAGGTTAGGCCCATCGCAAACGTTACGTACCGAGAAAACAATGCTCCTATGGAGTAGTGGCGTACCGGTAGTTCGGTACGCTATAACAGAGGTTGCATGTTCGATTCCCGCTCAATACAAAATATTTGTGTCATGAACATATATTTTTATGTAACATAATATTCGAAATTTATTGAAAAAATATTATCACTTTCTGCAGTCGATTTATACAGCTTGCGCATTGCGTTCACGCCGGGCCTAATGCTTATGCACACTCAGGTATTTACGAAAACTGGGGCGATGACGCGAATTCCTGTATGAAAATATACTACGGTGAAGACAAATTAAATATAATTACAAAATCACGATTTGATTTAAACTAAAACATAGTAAATATTGCATGATTTTGTGGGTATATTTAACATTTCAAAATATTTGACGTTATTAGTTTTAAATTAAACTTGAAATGATAACATGATAATTATCTTGATTTACTTAATATAAAATATAAGACTAAGGTTGATTTGCACCAATTTACCTATGACCTTAACTATGACAATGACCAGTTTGTCCACACCAGGAGTTTGAGACAGATTTTTGACGATTTTTAAAGTTTAAATAAAATGGTGCAACTCAGCCTGATTGCAATTATTACGCTTCCGAAAGTTAGTTTTACAATGTTTTGGTTTGTTCTCATAATTCATTCGATTGATCATAATAATGAAGTACATAGTTAATAAACTTTACCTACGTAATTATTGGTCAATCAATATAATATGTTTTAGTACTGTAGTAGTAATGTTCTGAAGGTTGGTTGGAAGAGATCGCNCTAGCTGACCCGGCGAACTTCCTACCGCCTTAGCGTAGAGATTTTCTTAATATTTTTTTCCGTAAGAACCATCCTTGGACTTCCACAAACATTTAAAAAAAAGAATTATCGAAATCGGTTCAGCCGTTCACACGTGATGCCGTGACAACGCGAAACGGGTTTCATTTTTATATATATAGATTACTGCAGGCATGGTTTACTTACGATCGTGTTATTGGGCGATCTATCGCACAGAGTGAGGTCGCGACTGCGACCGACCGAATGTGAGATAGAACGCCCAATAACATACTACTCGCATACGTCACAGCCCAGTCAGCGGTGGGGGCATTCGGCGTCCGACCGTGGTGCGGGCAGGTCGTGCTGTGTGCGTAGGCGAGCCAAATAATAATCTAATGGCGGAGATAAAGGTGTACAATACAATGGCGACGAGGATTAAAAAGGAGTGTAAAAAAAAAAGAAAAAAAAAGAAGTGAGTAGGTACACGTATAAGTTAAAATTATAAATTAACTCACGGAACATTATTAATTTCAAACAAAGTATCTATTTAGATTGTGCTTAAATATGAAGTATTTACTTTATATTTTCTCAGCCACCAAAGTGTAAATGTGTGAAGAGTGATATTCCCGTTGTAATAATAAAGATAAATGATGGTGTTTTTAAAATTAATTTATCGATCGGAAATAACGAAAATACTTTTTGTTGTGTGTGTGTTTTGCAGTAAAACGATTCTTAATATTTTACGTTAGTAACATGTACCTACATTAAGAAGTGGCTAATATAACACACTCACGAAAATAAGNTCTGTCTGTTACGCTTTCCCGCTTAAACCTCGCAACCGATTTTGATGAAATTTGGCATAGAGATAGTTTGAGTCCCGGGAAAGAACATAGGATAGTTTTTATCCCGGTTTTTGAAACAGGGACGCGCGCGATAAAGTTTTTCTGGTGACAGACAAAATTCCACGCGGGCGAAGCCGCGGGCGGAAAGCTAGTAGTTAATAAACTTTACCTACGTAATTATTGGTCAATCAATATAATATGTTTTAGTACTGTAGTAGTAATGTTCTGAAGGTTGGTTGGAAGAGATCGCTTTTTAACGATACGACACCGTAACAACTTTTTTGGTGTGCAATAAAGAGTATATAAATTATCTATCTACATCTTAGGTTTGACTTCTTTGCCTTATAACTGTTGTTTGATAGTTGTTGGTATGTGGGAATAAAAACAGGTTTTTATCCCTCACTACAATAATTACCTAATTAATAAAGAGACAAAGCCATGGTATAATTGTTTACTCGTTAAAATATCATCAACTTAGCAACCGGATGTCGGACCATTTCAATAGGTTTATAGTTGAATAATGCAATTTAACAATTTACGTAATTCTTACATCACAGTGCAAGCTATAAAATCATATAAAGAAATGGATTTGTAATCATTTTTATAGCACGTCAGTATGGTTTGTATTTATAGCAATCAAAGAGCTCAAGCATTATGAGAATGTGACGTCAATNACGTCAAACTGACCCATGTATACAGATTTCTAAAAAGGAATTGTAAATTCCAATTGGGTTTGTTTTGTCATGTGATCGAAAGTGCGTGGACTCAAGGAAAAAGGTGATGTTGTGCTAGTAGCCGTGTGAAGGTAAGTCAAGTCTTTATGGAATATTCTATTCTGCATTACTACAGGCATGGTTTACTTACGATCGTGTTATTGGGCGATCTATCGCACAGAGTGAGGTCGCGACTGCGACCGACCGAATGTGAGATAGAACGCCCAATAACATACTACTGTTGTTCAACGTTCTAATGGGTGTTTTTTTTATTTCAGGTAAGCCGGGTTACCATTCTTTCTTTTGTAAGTAACCCGTAGAATTTTACTGTATTTTTCATTATTTTCTGCTTCGTGCCTGCAGTTTATTGTTTACTAACATGACTTTGTCCTGACGAAAGCTTATTCAAATAAACATTTTCGTTGCAAATTAACACCTATTTTACTGCATAAGATACACAACAGTTTTAAGCTAAATATGCTGTCGTCGATACATGTAAAAACGCTGTTTTTGATATAAATGACGCCTTGGGAATCACCGGGCAAAAAAGCTCAGAGTCGCTCGCTTCCGCCTTTTATTGGAGAGGTCTGTATTAAGATTTAAATTGCCAGAAAATATTACTTAATCATCAAGCCTTTCGGCCAATACAAAAATGGCTCTTCTATTTCCGTTTCCTTTGCTTCAAGTCGAGTCTAAAATATAAGTTCTTAATTATCATAGTAACTGCCCTACGGTGATTATACGAGTAACTAATCAAGGATTACAACCAAAGATAAGGGTAGTTCTAAGCTTTTTCAACTCTCTAGGGTTGACAATGTTGACACCGTGCTATTCGTGTTTCGCCCATATTCAGGTTTATGTAGTGTGAAAGATTTGTAGGGTGTGCTCACCTGTGCTCTCTTTCAGCGAAAGAGGTATTCCGCAGCACATATCCTTTCATTTCATCGGAATCTGTGTGCGTGCTCCGTTTAAACGTTCCATTTTACTTGCTTGAGCGAATTTTGGTAATATTTCGTTGTATATTAACTTATAGAATGAAGTTTTTGATTGTGTAGAGGAGACGCATTTAGATTATTGAAAACAGTGAATTTAATATTTTGCTTGTAGGTATTTAATGTAGATTCTGATTTTTTAAATTTTGGTTTGACTGATATTCGATCGGCGCCTTATTTGTTAGGAAGTTTTTAACTGGTTAGGTGTGCACATTACACCTTTAACTTGTTCAATTTATAATATGACCATAGGTTGGTGAGATTTAAAAAAATTACCGATTTTAAACTAATACGGGTTGCAAACCAAGAGCTAAGCTAAGTTAGTTTAGCTTATCTCGCATAGCTGACGCAGTTTTAGCTGTGTGCAAACTGCAAACTATACAAGGAGTATAGAAAACTACGTCATCTATAAGAGCTAAGCTTTTGGTCTTACAACCCGCATTTAAGCGAGTACACAGCACAAACTTTATCGAATCACTCAAAAACTAAGTATTTTGTGATGCTAAACCACCACACCTTCTTTGGCAAGTACACTAGCCAAGTGAACAAGGCATGACATTCCGGAGGGTTTCCGTGCCGGCACTTCCTAATGGTGTCGCCCTGGCCCCGCGCCCAACATATTGAATCTTCATTTAATATTTCTTTCGTAAGCTATCGTAAAAAAGAAACAAATGTCTTCTGTACTTTATAGCTCTGGGATCACAATGAATTTCAGATGACAGATAAGCGAAGATACTTTTTAGCTCGGCGTTAGATTAACTGACTCTATAGTAAGACTGAGTTGCATCATCTAACTATAACCGTAACTATAATGATAACCGGTGTTTTTATATGGAGTTTGACATAGTTTTGACGTTTGTTAAAGTCAAAATAAGATGGTGCAACCGAGCTTAAGTATTGTCTACGACAGAACAGTCATTTAATCTTTTAAAAACAAATAACTGTCGGTAATTGAATTCAAACGTGGAACGTGTAATGAGCCGGACGTCAAAAACAAAACAAAAGAAGATCGCTAATAGTATTTTAAAAACCTTCAAAACTTTGTAGTACCAACCTTCCTGGAATATCTCGATATAAACAACGGAATAGAATGCGAAGAACTTTCAATATGATGGGGATATGTGAGGTATTCTTCAAATTCTAACCTCTCACTGCAGCAGGTACATACTTTCATCGCGGCTTTGCTCGTAGATTGTGGTCCGCAAAGGTACATAATTGTGCGTCTCTGGGAGTACATTTTCTTGATTAAAAATATTTTATTGGAAATAGTTTAGCGTTCCAGTACGAGTGTATTAAAAATATAGTTTTCCTTTCTCTTCGTGACGGCAAATACAGTTATAGTACAATAAACAAGATTGATTGTTTTTAAATACCTCGTTTACCATTCATTAGTAACTTAAGGTGCTTTTAACCACTTTGCGTGTACCGTATACTTATAAGTAGTACTTAATCACTCGCAAACCTTCACAAACTTTTAAAAACCCACACTCACACTATCTCGAGCCCATTCATTACTCAATACATCTTAACTGCAGTGGTCTGTGCATAAACACACACCAAATTGCAAGTAACCGCGGCTAACAAAGTTACGGGTGCGCCGACTAATTGAATTTGCAACTCTCGCTCCAGTGACCAAGGTGTAAAGTCCAGTGATTGTGGGCTAACAAACCGCAGACTAAATTTTGCCACTTCCTTGTGCCAAAACAGTAAACTGCTAAAATTTACAGCCGCTTGAATGGAACGAGAAACTAATATTAGTTGGGGGGTTGTAGGTTAAGTGACATGTGACAAATAACTATTAACCGGCTGCGTTTGCGATGTTTACGTTACAGTCAAAACTCATAATCGGTCAAAACTACTTTTGATTGTCAATGTGGTTTCGCCCGATTAAAAAATTACCAATCAGTCAAAATTCATACAAAGTTAAATTTTGACTTTGTAGGTAGGTACTTTGCAGAGTAGGTAGGTACAAGTACCTACTTTGAAGTCAAAAGTGGTTTGACTACCGTTTTTGATGAAAACCACTTTTGACACGAAAGTGGTTTTACATTTTAAAAAGATAAAATTACTTAGCTTAAACTTTATTTTATCTTTTTATTAATATCTAATTATGGATTTCCGCAAAGTAACGCCTAATACTATAAGTTAATGAAAGTGGTTTTGACCGATTATGAGTTTTGACTGTAACATCCCAACTAATATTATAAATGCGAAAGTAACTCTGTCTGTCTGTCTGTCTGTCTGTCTGTCTGTCTGTCTGTCTGTCTGTTACGCTTTCCCGCTTAAACCTCGCAACCGATTTTGAAGAAATTTGGCATAGAGATAGTTTGAGTCCCGGGAAAGAACATAGGATAGTTTTTATCCCAGTTTTTGAAACAGAGACGCGCGCGATAAAGTTTTTTTTTTTTTATATGCCTTTAATATCTTAAGTAAGTATGTTGGCGTTCAACTTTTATGGAGTGAATTTGCTTGGATTATTGAGTTGTACTCCATTTGTCGGAACCGTTCCGTGAGCTCGCGCACATTCCTAACTCAATTCAACAGAGCTTGGGTATGTTTCTTGTTGGTTTATTCTTTTTAGTCTTTATTTAGATATCATTGTGGTTTCATTTAAACAGTGCATACCTATTCGGTACGTTACTTTCAGGTAAAATTTTAGGTAATTTTGAGTATTAGTTTCTCCTACGTCATAATGGGTTTAATTACTTATTCTTTGTTAATAAGACTGAAAATTGGTTGACTCACTAACTTCACATCTACTAAATAAGCCAATCCATATCCCAAACATGTACGCTCAAAACCAGTGATCATTCAGAGCCAAAGTTTATTGCGCCCAAACTACTGATATTGGACTCTAAATTCTAATCACTCAGCTCAAAGTTTAGAATTGAGTTCTCACTAACCACTCACGCCGCAGGTCCCATGGTCCCTATTGCGCAGTACTAGCACATAAATAATGCACAGTGAGGCAGTGACGTCACAGGCAGAGTCCCGCGTGTTAACCGCTGAATAGTTATTGTCCTGGCCCGCATAGTTTAAATGGGCGTAAATAGAAAGATTGCTATGGAACAAGGCTAGAGCAGACCGAGTTTTAAATTCTGCTTCACGAACGACGACGGGTTCGTTTTCAAGCTTATAGTCAGTGGCATTAGATCCAAATTAACTTTTCGATATTTTGACAGTTACATCGGCCTATTCATGACCTTTACTTGTTCCGTGATCTCATCAGCTGGAAGGTGAAGGTTCACGCTATTATTAAAAACCATGAGTGCTAAATCGAAAATATTCAACGAAATTATCATAATTCGTATAAATGGAAAATCCCAGATTAACCGTCAGCTCATTAAATTAGGCGGTTAAGCTCCGTTTAAATTACCCATTCTCTTTGCTATTCTAATTTCAACCCTCGAAAACACTAAGAGATTCATCCTATTTAAATTAGTACAATTGGCTGAATAATTTAGGATTGCAGATAGCTAATTAAACCATTTTACAAAAAGGTTAAATAAAAAAGCCAGTTTGAAGTTAATTGTAAAGTTTTCCAAAAAAATACACATTATTCAAAAGTATTGTAATAAAGCGTTATCAGAAACTGAAAATAATACCTATCAAAGTCAAATTGGACTTGAAGTATGACAAGTTACCTGCTAATTCACGAACTTTGGCTGAGGTAATGGTTGGTTCGAAAGTACCTAATAATAATGACGTCGACAAAGTAGCAGCTATAGTGTTTGTAGAACTGTGAAATGACTAACATTGTAGCCTTCTTAACGAGCGAACAAGAACAAAACCCCTATCCTATATCGTGGAGACAATGAGTGGTATTTAATGAGACTACGTGGACGCATTTGTACACCTTGATGTTCAGTCAGATAATTTGTAACAGCGAAAATGCGCCAGATACCTTAGAGAGATAAAAAAGAAAAATCCCCTCTAGCGGTTGTAGTCA